TTGCTATTTAAGAGAGAAAGCATTTTTTTATTGATGTAATTAGAAATCTAAGCTAGTTCCTGAAGAAGGTTTAAATGGATTTTTGACTCCAATAAGCTGTATTTATCAAGCTATTTCTCATTTGAAACTCATGAATTTTTAAATCATATTTACAAGAGGTTGCTGAAAATTTCTCAGCTTAAACCACTTTGTTGGCAAACAACAAAACATCAAGTTTTGGGGTTTTTTTTTGTCAATTTGTAAGTGAACTTTTTACCTTAAATTTTGTCAGTCTAACTTTTTATTGCATCAATAGCAATAACCATAAGCATAACACTAAACTGTTTTATGCTAATAAATGTTGTTGAGGGGTTAACTGACTGTATGGACCTCTGGTGGCCATTGCTCATGCTACAACCATAAATACAAATTGTCTTAAGTCTATAAAATAAAAAAAAAACGGTTATAACTGAAAATTTTTAGCCTGATACCTACTTTAAACAGTTAAACAAAAAGATAGATTCAGTTTAGCTAATTTAATGGACACAAAGTAAGGTCCCAGTTTAGCATTGTACTTACATTATAAATTGAACCACTCACTAAAAACTAAAAACATTTTTTAGCGAAATTTCAAAAATCAATATGCAAAACAAAAAAAAATGTTAGAGGGTCCTGCTAAATATTTAGTGGTTACAGCTCTAGCTGTCTTTGAGTTAACAGACAAAAAAAAAAAAAAAACTTTTATTCTTCTATGTCCATGTCCCTTCAAGACATTGGCAACCATAGCTCTCAGCAATTTCCTGTCCTTTGTAGCTATAAATAATAAATAAATAAATTTAATAATTTATTTATTATTTTTTTTTGTTATCTCTTTTAAACCTTGCTCTGCCATCCATTGACTTGGTAGGTTATATGCCGTTTTCCTCTGTCCTGAAAGTATTTCCATTTTCTCTAAAACTGCATGGCATTCTCAGCATCTTTCTGTAGAAAGACATTTCTGTTGCTTCAAATCTCTTCATAAATGTCCAACATTCACTGCCATATAGGAGAACTAATATTACATGACATTTCAGTACTCTTTTCATTGTTTCTAATACTTTGCTTAGTTTTTGGAAGGCATCTTTTGCTAACCCAATGCACCTTTGGATTTCATTGCTGCACTTTCTGTTCTCTGTTAAAATACTTCCCAGATATTTAAATTTTTGTACTTGTTTGCTTTTGGTATCTTCAATTTGTAATTTGCATGTAGAGCTGTTCATTTTTCTAACCACCATGTATTCAGTCTTCTTGCAACTGATGTTTAGTCCTTTCTTCTCACTTTCCTTCACTACCATCTGTACTTCTTGTAGCTTCCTTTTGGTGTCTGTTATTAATACTGTGTCATCTAAATATGCTGTTAATATTGTGACCGCCAATAATAAATCCTGGTAAGACTTGTAATTCTCTCAGAATCATTTCACTGTAGAAGTTGAAAAAGTCTGGTGAGAAGACATATCCTTGTTTTACACACCTTTTTTTTTTTTTGTATATTTCCTGAACTCATTTTCTGTTCATATGCAGGTAGTTTGCTGCCAATATAGGTTGCTGATTATTCTAATATCCTTCCAAAATTTTTCAAAGTTATCTAGCAGCTTCAAAAGTTCTTTGTAACCTACTTTATCAAATGCTTTTGCATAATATATAAAATGCAGGAACATGTCCTTCTGCATTTGCATTGCACTTACTGATATCAATCCTTGTTCTAATGTCTTCAACAAACCAACACTGTTCTTGTATTTCAGGTTTGATTCTGCTGTGCACTATTCATCAGAATTTAGACAATAAGTTTTGTTATATGGCTCATTACGTTAGTTGTCCATTGGATTTCACATTTGTTTACCCTGGCTTCTTAAACAGTGCTATGAAAAGAGATCTACTTAGGTTTTCCAGTATATCACCACTATTATATATTTAATTTATTAGGTCTGTAATCTAAGACTGCCAACATCTTTATTACAATTCAGTTTGGTCCTACTGCCTTGCTTCTGTTCAATTTGGCCAGTGCAGATTCCAAATCAGATTTGAGTATTTCTGATCCTTTAATATTTTTGTGTATTCTCAGTTTTCTTTTCTTTTGTTGTGGAAGAGGTCTGCAATGTATTTGTAGCATCTTCAAAGTATTTTTTCTTTCTTTAATAGTTCTTAGATTTTATACATTCTGATGAGCATGTCTTTTGTCCTGTTAGTTTTTTATGCATATCTGCTTTATCTGTAATCCTTGTTCTTTCTATTTCTTCACATTTTTCATTGAGCCATTTCTCTTTAACCTGCCTGCATTTGTTCCTAATTTCTATGTACAGAATCCTATATTCTGTGCTGTACCTTGACATTGTTTTGTTTTCTTTTCATCATGGCAAGAATTTCATCTGTCACCCATTCTTTTTTTCAGTTGTCTATTCTTTGGGATGATCTCAATTGCTGACGTTACTAAAGCTTCTCTTAATGTATCCCACTATGAGTTTCCATTTTCAATTTGTCCATTGTATTTGCTGTCCATGTTTCTCCTTCACTTTTAGGTCATTATTAGTTTTATTAAAAAATTCTTATTTAAGACTGACATAATGAGATGCAGATGCTAATTAATAGTAATGGCCTTAATTTTCCAAATATACTTACCCAATTGTTTTTGTTCCACCTCCACTGTATTGTTCTGGACTTGATGGTATGGTTAGAGATCTGAAGAGAAGAATAAAGAATAAAGAACTATAACAAAGTAAAAATTAATATAATTTTAACAAAAATGTTTGGATGATGTTATCTTTCATTACAAATATATAACATCATGCTGGATCATTTCATGTTTTTGCTTTTTTCATAAAGGTTAAAAACAAAAAACTAATTTCTTCTCAATTGAAAAACTTCTGAAAATTAAATCATTTTCAGATATTCACTTTATAACTCCATTTCTTGCAAGTTTCAAGATTTATAAAACTATTCCAGAGTTATCAGTGAATGATAAAAATTAAGAAAAGCATCGACATTAGAGAGATTACCCTCAATAATCTTACAATAAACAGCCAAGATGTATAAAAAAAAAAAAAAAAAAGATTGGTTGCTAGCTAACTACAGTGACTATAAGCCTACTTACTGTTATTTATTCTCAGACCTAACTACTTTGAAGAACAAATAAAGATATTAACAAATACATTTGTTTTCTTCAGATTCTTTAAATGTTATTTTATTGATATAGATATTTATTTTTGTTTCTTTCTCTTTAGTTCCAAGTGTTTAAATACATTAGGGTACTGAAAAGTTCTCATCTTGACCTCTTCCAAAACAATCTGATGTTTGGTAATTTGGTCAGATTTTGAGAAATTGATCAGACAAGAACTTATCAGATCCTCCTTTCATATATTAGATACACACACAAGAAAAAAAAAAAAAAAAAAAAAGTTGAGGTATTTCACATCTTTCACAAATCAAGTCAATATAAAATAATCATTTTCTAATACTTATTCTTTTATTATTTACATGCATACAATTGTCCCCATGTTTGTTGTTGTTACCACAATGTTTCGGCTGCTCTACCCTGTGGCCTTCAGCAGGTGGTTGTTGATCCCCGGTAACTTTCAGAGAATTTCAAACTCTTTATTTAATCTATGGGGTTAGATTGTTCTCATTCTGCTGACCATGTCCAGAACTCATTTATTGCCTGCAGGATTGGACTCACAATTACTATGTCATTAAATTCGCAATCCAACACTTTAATCCACTAGGCTATTGTCCCATGGGACAATTCTGGGTGGAGAACCTGAAGCCTTGAGCCTAACTCAAAAGAATGTTGCTTATTATGTACATCACTGACACCACAGCTGAAAATCATTTCCTAACTATGGCCAAATTCACTGTTTGGTTGCTAAATTTTCAATAAATCACATCCACTATTAGACAAATATTTACTTAAAAACAGTAAAAAGTGTATCAGAAGAGCTAATTCTTTCATATAAATATTAACATTTCTCCCAACATTCAAAGTGTCAATTCTAATATATCAATTAATTGAGTATTGTACACACATAAATATTAACCACATGAAATCAGGATAGTTTTATATGATGACTATGTCATCAGTTGCTCTTGGACAATCAGTCTTCTTCAGCCACAGATTGTCTTTAATTGCTATCCAATTCACTGCCAGATGAAGAAAATACGTTAATATCTTTCTTTTTTTGAGAGAGAGGGTTTGTTTTACAGTATATCAACCTCAATGGGTCATTTAATGCTGACAACATTTTTTTTTTCTGGTAATATTTTTGTTTTGTCAAAAATCTATTTCTGTTAATATTTTTTTCCTTAAAAATGTATAGCTGGTAATATTTTTTCAAAAACGTATAGCTGGTAATATTTTTTTTTTTTCTTCAAAAATTTATTTCTGGTAATAATTTTTTTACAAAGTATTTCTGGTATTAAAATCTATTTTTACACTTTTATAATGCCTTTTACCTCAGTTTCTGGGTTAACTATTTGCCCATAGCTGGGACCCTAACAGGTGCTACCACCCCGGATCAGGGTGGACCTGGGAATACCAGCAATTAAGAGGAGGTTCCATGCTCCTCAAAGCCTCCTAATCAAAGGCCTTGCTGTTGGACGTAGTTTATTTTCTTACCCTTGACGCGGATGTAGTTTATCATCATACCCAGGATGCTGAGAGAGGGATAGATCTTGTTAACCACTCACAAATGGTCAAAATAAGTAAAATAAAATAAATTCAAAATAAAGAATGAGAATTTAAGTAGAGATTTTTTTTTTTTTTTAAATATGATATGGGACAAATAGTTAGGATTATATAGTGCCAACAGCAAACAAGTAATATTAAATCATTGCTTTGTCCAAGTTTTTAATCACAAAATAATTTACTCATAATTGATTTCTCAAGACGTACTGATAAGTACAGAAAGAACAGATGGATAGGGACAATGATATCAATAAATAAAAAGATATAACAGCCAGATGCTTAGGATAAACAAATACTGAGTACTTACTTCCATCTGTTGATGTATCTGACAGGAGTGATATCACAATTGGCTGCCTTCAATGCATCACAATACTCTTTTTCTTCTGACTGCAATAAAACAAAATATTCCTGCATTAATTTTGAATAGACAAAAGTATACAGATTGTAAAAACCATTAAAATAAAAACTGAAAAAATAGATTAACGTAAGTTTTGATAAGGAGTCAATAAGTCTTGACTCAACAATAAAATTCTCTTGCAGAGAACAATTCAACAGTGTTTTTATCTTTAAATCTCATACAATGGTAGGGCTGAATATAATGAGACATTTTGTCTTTTAAAAGCAATGAATTATTTAGGAAAATTTAAATCAAAACATATAGATAACTATATAAAAATTTGTTTCCCAAAGATTTAACTGGTAGATTTTTTTTTTTAATCAATTCACCCCAAGCAAGGTGATACTGCCACTAAGGCATGAGAGGCTACTGCGAGTGAAAAAGAATAAAAAGACTTTAAAAGTATCTGGAAACCCAATCCTAAATAGCAAACAAGGAATAAACTTCTACTCCTGTTCAAAAGACCAAGGAGGAGTTTAAACTGGATGAGAGGCAATATATTAAAAATAGTTAACAAGTTAGAAAAAAGAAAATCAGTTAATCCCTAAAAGGCTAATAAAATCACATTTTACTACACACATATATATATATATATATATATATATATATATATATATATATATATATATATATATATATATATATATATTTATTAAAACATATTTTTTATGTTTTAAAGATACAAGTATTTAAGCAAATTCTGTTTATGATAAACAGTATTAAATAACATTTACCGGCCTGAATGTCCGAGAAATTTTTCATAGAAAATTTTCGTTCTTTGACAGGAAATTCTTTGACAGTTCTTTGAAAAAATTTTCTATGAAAAATTTCTCGGACATTCAGGCGGTAAATGTTATTTAATACTGTTTATCATAAACAGAGCATTTGCTTAAATACTTGTATCTATAAAATAACAACGTTAAACATAAAAATATGTCTTTAATAAATAAATTGTCGGACCTTGTCCATTTCTTAATATATATATATATATATATATATATATATATATATACACACACACACACACACACACACAAATTAAGCTTGAAAAAGAGAATTTTTTCCATAGATCATTAAAATGATTACCCAAACAAATTATGACATCATCAGGGATTTTAACTATCCATTTTTTACACCTGGATGCTCTTCCTGGTGCCAATCCTAAACAGTTAATAAATCAGATGTATACAGTAGTGGGGGGGGGGATTCATACACCATGAATCTTTTTATTTAACAGATTTTATAAAATAATTTTATAATCCATGCAATATTTGTATACTATGGCATAAAGCTGCAATATGCAAAAAAATTCAGAAAAATTTGTTATATTAATGAAATTAAAAAAATTGGAGGCGAAAAAAGTATTTGTACAAAATTATAACACCTATTTAATACTTTGTAGCATATCTCTTACTCAATTCAACAAAAATCAGTTTCTTTCTGTAGCTTTTAATCAATGTTTCTCTAGGTATTTACTCCATTTTTCTTTGCACATTCTCTTTAGGTCCAGGATGTTTTTCAGAGTTCTTTTATTAACTTAAATATTTTTTTTTTATTTTTTTATTTTTTTTTATTCTCTGTTGGATTCAAGTCTGAAGACTGATGACCATTCGAGTGTATTGACAGTTTTCAATAAGCCATTTTTTTTTCATAGATTTAGCTGTATGTTTAGGGTTATTATCTTGTTGCAAAACCCATTCATTTGAGAGTCCAAGCTTTACTACTGACCCCAAAATCTTGGTATATCTTTCAATTTATTCTACCATTTATTATTTCTAAATTACCCATACCATTAGCAGAAAAACATCCCATAACCATGATATTGCCACCACTAAATTTCACTGTTGGGATCGTGTTCTTTGATGCAAAGACTGTGCTGTCTTTTCTCCACATGCAAGTTCTTGAATTACACCCAAATAGTTCAATTTTTGTTTCATCTGTCCATAAAACACTTTCCCAAAATGATTCAAGTTTATTCTTATGCTCATGAACAAATTTTAACCAGGCATCCCTATGTTTCTTCAATAGTAGTGGAGTTTTTCTTGGAGAACGTGATCTTAGATTACTTCTATGAAGTTCATTGCTTATTGTATACTTCATAACTATATCTAATTCTTTCTGTATTTCTCTCTGGGTAGTCATTGGATGTTCTTGAGTTTTGCACTGAATTCTTCACATTTTCTGGGAGAAATCTTGCGTGGTGCAGATCTTGATTTGTTCTCAACAGTTTTCACCTTCTTATAACCATAATGAACTAATAATAGTAAATGGTATATTCAGGATATCTGCTATTTTCCTATAGCTTTTGCATTCCTTCCAATATTTGATCAATTCTTTTTGCAAATTTGATAGTTCCTTGCCTTTCTGCATGATGATAATTATTGTGTATGATTTATGTGCAGAGTTAACTTTATATAAGAAATGAATTGCAGATTGTTCTAGATAACATAATTGGAAGAATCTAGCAAAATCTTACAAAGAATTATGTAAATAAAGGTAATTTAAGCATTTTGATATTAAAGACATTTTGTAAAAATACATTTTTCACCTCAAAATTTTATAAATAACAATTTCATTTAAAACAAAGTTTTCCAATTGTTTTTTGCATATTGCAGCATTATGCAATAGTGTAGAAATATTGTATGGACTTTAAGTTTTTTCATAAGTTATAACTATGTTGATTAAAAAATTTCATGGTGTACAAATATTTATTTCCCCACCACTGTATGTATCTGACAAGTAACAGAATGCTAATCTGGGAGGAAAATCAAAGCCACAAATGTACAACTCAGTATGAAATATCACACCCTCATTTAGGAGCTTTCCCCATGATAATGATGAATAAAAATATTGGAACAAAGGTCATCTTTTTTTTTTTCTGAATGATGGAGTGGATATCAGAATGACAAGCCTAATTGGTTTCTGTAATTTTTCAATTTGAGATCAAATTGTAAGCAGCAGGTGAATAAGTGCTCATAATAGACTTGCCTGCATTTACTCAGGAAAATATCTAACCTCATTTATCATCCTTTAACAAAAAAATAAATAAATAAAAAATAAATATATTCTTTTTTTTTTTTATTAAAAACAACATTCCATACTTGATAAGTTTGCTCCTTTTTTATTTTAGAAAATTTTAAGCTCCTCATAAGTCCAGGTATTTTGTTAAACAAGGGCAAATCATTAGGAGTGGCTGTGTATGAAAAAGTACTACATTCTGAACCTACTTAAAATAAAAAACGTTAGTATAATCAACTGAGACATTGGGGGGGGCACAAAATACTAAACTCTGGTGCACCAGACGAATGGAACACAGGGAGAGAATGAAATGGCCAAAAAGGTATTTTCATATTTTACTATAAAGATAACTAGATACTTAATAAAATAAAATAGAGGAATTATTTTGTTAGCACCAATAAAGTCCCTTAAATTTTGTACTAATTTTATTGTAATAAATTAAACATCTATTTAACAAAAAATATTTTTGCATTTTTAATTCTGAAGTAGCTCTTGTTATATTATTTGATTTTTATTAAAAGGAATTTTTCAAATACATCTGTAGTACAAAATTTTCAGGTACAACTTATAGAAAAGAAAATCAAGAATGATACACATCAAAACATGTTCTGCATCTTTCCCCTTTATCATATTCAGTGTGGATCAAGCAAAATAAAATTCTCAACTAAAGATGAACTTGCCATAATAATCCTAAAACAATTTTCTCCTTTGCAATACAAGCTAACTTTACAAAAGCACTTCACAATAACTAAAGTCAGAAATTGAACTGCAAACAATTTCCTATCAATAATTGAGGGTATCAAATTTTAACACATCTTAAACATTTCAAATGCATTTAACTAAATTTTATCAAACAAATTACACCTGTAGCCAATCTATTAGAAAGAAAGAAAAACATGATATAGAATTTGATCTTTGCAACAGCCAGACAAAAAAATTCCTAAATTATGACTAATATAGCAGGACTACAGTCCAGGTAATAGTTCAATATAGTTTTTTTGATGGATATTGGAGAAAATGTATAACATGCAGTTGACTACGGGGCATCTCAACTTTGAAGGACATCATAAACCCTTAAAGTTTGCATGTATCCGATTTGTAATGACAAAAATTATGAAAATTTTAAATGATCAACTAGTTTACAAAATTGTAATACTAAATCTATTTTAGATTATTAGAATAAATTTAAAAAAAAAAACAATTTATAAAAGCTATTCTTTTTTTTTCTATTTTCAAAATCATATTACCCAGAGTTTAGCATTGGATAACTAAAGCATAAGAGCAAAGGAGATAGGACTCCTTAGAAAATGATAATCAGCCATTTCAAGATATTCATCAACAGAAAAGATTTCAAGCAACAACAAATATCATGGAAAAAAAAGTTTAAATAATAAACAAAGTTAGAGCCACTTAAATGATCTCTTACATTAAGGAACATTAGCATAGTTGATTTAAAGCTGAAGAGAATGCTGGCAAAAAAGAAGAAATTTCAATAGCTATAGAAAATTATTTGCACTATTTACATTCTTCAGACCTCATCTGTGTTGCCATATTCACAATGTTTTGGCCACTGTAGGATGAAATAAAGGGTTCAGTTTGAAATTCCAATCACCTGAAGGCAGCCAGAGCATACAATAGCTGAAATGTCATGAATATGACAACAAAGATGAGGACAGCTGTTCAAAGAATGTAAATAGTGTAAATAATTACAATATCTCATCTCAGAAATCAACAGATATTATAGAGAATTGTATAGAAAATTGCAAAAATAAAACAAACAAAATGCACAATTTTTTCCAATATCAAACACCAACATGAACTGGTTTCATTAACAGCTTTAATCAATAAGCGGTTTGTACATTTTGAAATGTCCAAGAATAAAACTTGAAATTGAAACTGAATTGAAAATACTTGTTGAGATATGGTTTTGCTTCATATTTGGTTGTTAAATAAGGATTTTTATGAAGTACAT